TCATACACACACACCACACACACATCACAACACACACAACACACACACACACCACAACACATACAACACACACAACACACCATACACACACACCACACCATACACACAGACACATATAGCACACACACACCACATACCACATACACACAAAACACACACACACCACACACACCACAACACACAACACACAACACAACACACACACATATACACCACAACACATACAAATACCACACACACCACACACACACATATATCCCACAACACACACACGACACACCACACATATACACACCACACACACACACACACCCCACAACGTACACACACAGAGGCATTTAGAATTGGTAGATCCTCTCTTCTGACCAGGACTCACCTCTTGTAAAGTGAGGCTGGGTATGGGTTCGAGGCACAAGTTTCTGAGCAAACTTCTGGCATGGCCTCTACATTCTGGAATGTGAGGACTGCTTTTCACTCCCCTCACCATGATGCCCAGCCTGCACACTTTAGGTCACATTCGTGTATGTAGGTATGCACGTGACTATGTCGGTGTTCATGAGCAAGGGCTGGATCATGTATGCACTATATGCATCAATGTGTCTATGTTTATATATGTCTCTCATGATGGAAGCAGGGTTGCTATGTACACTGACCATAAAAGCAGGGTATACATGTATATGCAGATGTGTGTGTGAGTGAGCATGTGCAGTTGACTGTGTCATATTGAGATGCAGTGTGTGCTAGTGCCGTTTGGATGAACATGTGTGTGAGCAGATATGTTCATGGATGTAGATGTTCTTTGAAGAACAAGTATGAATAGACTTGGCACAGTCCCTGTCCCTGTCCTCATTTTACATAAGCTGGTGCATTGCAGTGACTCTCATGGCTTCATCGGGATTCAGCAGCCAGTATAGCCAGGGGCGGGACAGCTTCCACAGCAGCATGTCCTCCCCTGCAGCACACTGCACTCCCCCACTCTGTGCTTTGGTGTCTCTGGCATGCGCAGTCCTCACTCCCACCCCTGCAGAGCCTGCTTGCTCTGGCACCTGGGCCATCCTTTGCAGACCCATGAATGGGGGAAGGGAAGAGAGGTAAGGAAAGAAACAAAGATAGCCCCAGGCCTCATCCAGTCAGTTCCCTGAAGTGCTCCTCCATCTTGTGCTCAGAATGTCTAGAACCACACTGACTAGATGGAACAAATCACCAATGATAGTCACATGACAGCACACATGGTCCTCTGAGGATCAGTCCAGGAGGAACCAGCAGACACAGACATTTGTCCCAGGCCTCTCCGGGGGCCAGTTGGCTTGGAGTGGTCTGTTAAGGAGACCGAGAAGGACCAGAAAAGGATCGAATGAAACTGGGGCAGTGGAGGATGATGGAGGTGCAGGGGAGAGGGGAATCAGTGGTCACCTGGCTGGAGATGAGGTCCTCACACACTGACAGGGCCATCTGTATGGCGTTGGGCTTATGGGTGACAGAAGTGGCGTTGAGCTGTATCTTCCAAGAGCCGTGTCGCTTATTGGCCTGGTTTACTGCCTCGCGGAACATCTGCTCGTGCTTGCGCGTGCTCAGCACCGCGCCGATGTTGACGATCTTGGGGTCGCAGGCGGCGCGGGCGAAGGAGCAGGAGAAAAGCAGGGCGAATGTCAGCAGGTGCATGGTGCTCATGAGCCCCGAGCACAGCGGGCCTGGCTCTGGGTTGCGCGAGTGCGACGACCTCGCGATGTACGACCCGCGGGGCCGCCCGCGCGGTCAAGCGCCCGTGGGTTCTCCTGGAGTCCGGGGCGAGCGCGGCGGATGCTGTCCGAGGTGCTGAAGCGTGTTTGGCGCTGCTCGAACACCCGCGCGGAAAAGGCGGAAAGGACAGCAGCGAGGACTGCGCGACTGGTCCCGATGCTGCGGCGACTGCAGCAGCTGCGGAGTCATGAGCGGGACCTACGCGTTCTACCCCTCCCACCGCCCCCGCTTCCTGACGCCGAGTCGAGCGCGCGCCTCCTGACGCGCGCCTGCGTTGGCGTGAATGCTTGGAGCGAGCGAGTGAGGAGCGCCCACGTGGGTGTGTGCACGCGCGTTAGCATACAGAGAGTCAGGGACAGTTATCCGTGTGGTCCCAGACGTGCAATAGCTGAGCCGGGAAGGCTAGAGGGGTTTCTTATCATCACGTGTACCTGGACTCTTAAGTGTATTTCAGCAAGAGGGAATGCGTTGTGAATGCCTGAGTGTGTGCGCTCAAGTATAAGTCCTTACCCATAGTTTGTAATATTTTGGGACTTGATTCTTTCAAGGTCAAGAAGAGGCCCTATCTGGGGGAAGGATATCTGTACTCTCCTCCCTACAGGGCTCAGTATTGTAGAAGAGAGTTGGATACACTCTAGAGGCTGAGATAGGATTGCTAGAGTTCAAGGCCAGCCTGGGCTATGTAGTAAGTAACATGATCTGTCGATAAATAACACAAAACTGGGGGGGTTAGGGAGGGGAACACCACACCTTTGTTGATCTGTGACTTAGACTCCCTTCTGGAGGTTAAGAATAGGTGTGACATTGGCTCCCTTACTATAGAATGGTACCTTCTGGGAGACCTGAAGGAGACCAAGGACAGAGAGAGCTGTTTACAGCAGCTAAAGCAAAGTTAGAAATCATGTAGCACATCAGGCTCCTGCCTGACATGTCTGAATTAGGTATTTTGTATTCCCTGCTTCCTCTCTTTGACTACTTACCAGTGTGAGCTGAGTCTTGCTCCCAGCAGGCATTTCCCAGAGCTCTCCTTGGTTCTCAGTATGGCAATCCTAATTCTTTGTCCCCCTCCTGCCATATAAAGTACAGCCCTTCCCAAATTCAAAAGGAACAGCTGAAGCTCCACCCCTACCAATGACATCACTATTTCCAATAGCAACCAAGGATTTTGCAGGCTCTCCTGTAAATGCTTCCTAGGGGACAAAGGAAGTGGTCTCTGCACCTATGTGCTGGGTATTGCAGAGGAAGAATCCTGGACCCACAGGCTCACACTCCTGATTCCTCTCTCTGAAATTGTCTTCCAGAGCAGAGGACAGGCAAGCCTGTGGCACTGTGTAAGCCCCCTGTCTTTTCTCTGCTGCACACTGTCTGTTCTGGCATTAGGGAAGACAGGGAAAGAGCTCAGCCTCAGGGCCCTGATGCTCTGACAGCTTTCAGGAGGCCAGAGCTGGCACCATCAGGTTGGGGCCATCTCCAGACATCTGTGGTTTTGACAACTCAGGGCCTGGAGGCTGTATAGGGGTGGCCTGGGCTCTGTTACTCCATGATAGCGCAGGAACTACCCGTCCACCCCATGAACCGAAGACTGTTCTTACTGACATGTTAGACCTTATTGCTGAATATTCAATGATCAGTAAGCAGTTGTTCCCAGATAGGAATCTGGAATTGATCATGGTAGAGCTACTTACTTATATCAGGGAAGATTTGCAGAATTTCCCTCTCCACCTCCCAAAAGCCCATTTGCCAGCACACACACCCTCTTGAGCTGTGGGTTCTCAATCTTTTGGTCTAAACTCCTTAGAAGGGGCCCAATAATGAGGGCAGGGAGGAGGCAGAGCCTACTCGACTCATCATCTCTTTTTGACTCTGTTCCTTATTCCTCAGAGGCTTCTTTTATACTCCCATCATGGTTGGCTGCAGTCATACAAACCACCAATCTTGTTTCTGCCTGCTGCAGTAACAGGCTGACTGACAAACTGTCTTGGGTTGAGACCTCGCTGGGTCCTGGGGAGACAAAGGCTGTGAACATGACCAAAGATGCTCAGGATTGTTGTGTGGTGGGGCCCCAGGTTGGGATTGAGGCCCAGTTCTGCCCCCAGGCTACTATGGGAAATTCTGCTGTGTAAAGAACACCAACAAAGGAGGCTGTGGATGCTCACAGGTCTATGCATGCTCCTCCCCTGTTCTAGCAATTGCAGCCCAATTGTAAAGGAGTTTGCCCTCTCCAGCTCCTAGTTTTAGTCCATCAGACACAGGACTTACTGACCTCAGTTCATAGGCAAATATGGCTTTTTTGTTTTTTGCTTTGTTTTTTGGTTTAGTTTTTCAAAACAAGGTTTCTCTGTGTAGCTCTGGGTGTCCTGGAACTCACTCAGTAAACCAAGCTGGCCTCAAACTCACAGCTCTGCCTACCTCTGCCTCCCAATACTGGGATTAAAGGCATGTGCCACCACTGCCTGGTGAAATATAGATTCTTAACCAACCCAGGTTGGCACATTGGGTTTTGCCCTCATATCTCAGAAGTTGGGAAAGAACTGGTCTCTGCATCTTCTCTATAGGTGAATTAATCCTTTAGCCAGGCTCAGGGTCAGCCTGTGGATACATTTCTCACCAAGTGGAAGCCATTTTGAAAGGAGGAAACTAGAAGAGAGAGGAAATGTAGGAGCCATGACTAGATATCTACTGGCCCCATGGTCAGGTGACAGGCTTTTACCTGGTGTTCAACTGATGGGGGCTGCTTCTACTTAGACTGGAGACTGGGCCTGGCCAGCATTAGTCCTGGGTACCAAGTAAAGTGACTGGGTCAGGGTGTCTATGCTGACCCAGGGCAGCCAAGGGCCTCACGGAAAACAGCTAGTCACCAGCAGGAATTCTAAGGCGACCTACATCACGTCCTGACCGACAGTATTACCCATTTCCCCACCACCTGCCTCTACCACCACCCCTCCTCCCCGACCCTGTTCCTGTCCTCTCTGGCACTGAATATAGAGAATAAAGTCCCAGAACTTTAAGTGCTGCAGGTGTCAAGCTATTGTTACCACACACTTTGAAGTAAATGTAGAGCAAAGGATTCAGTCTTTAGATCTCATGTGAGGCTCTCTGCTACTACAGACTTGGTGGTTTGGGCTGCCTTCCTCATGTCTCATGTCAAATCATCCAGCTAGACAAGAATGTCCTATTAAGGGTTGCCTGAAACCTCTCTCCTCTCTGGTTAAGACTATCAAAGACAAGACAAAGAGATCAAGGCCACTTTCTTTCCAGCATGCTCTCAAGTGCACACATACACACACTCATACACACACACTTATACACACATATACACATACAGTATTTATGTGTGGGGTTGCACACGTGTGTGAAGTATATTGTGTATATATTTGTGTATATGGATACAAGAGTGTGTGTGTGCATATAGGTCAGAGTCAACATACTTTGTCTTCCTCAACCATTGTCCACATTATTTTTTAATTTGTTTACATACCTTTGTAAGCATGTGGAGGTGAGAGGACAACAAAAAAATTGTAAATTGATTCTATCCTTCCATTGTGCAAACCCCAGGGATAGATAGAACCTAGGCTATTGGGATTGTCTTGGCAACAAGGACTTTTACTCACTGAGCCACTGTGCTTGTTAGTCACCTTATTTTTTTGAAACAGAACCTCTCACTGAGCCTGAAGCTTACCAATTTGACAAGACCAGCTGACCAACAAGTCTCTGTATCTTCTGGACCTAGCTAGCATTCCTACTCTGAGATTACAGGCTAACATGGCCTCATTTGTTATCCAGTTCTGGAATCCAAACTGAGGTCCCATGCTTGCATATAAGCACTTGGCTGTCTGTGTTAGATCCTTAGCCTCTAGCTGTCCTTATAAGTAGGTCAGGAGCACTGATGTTTTGATTTTAGTTGCGATCTGTATAAAGGAATGTTTGTACGTTAATGGCCTGGCATTCTGGGAAAAGATCCTGATTAAGGAAAAGTTTTCCTCTTTTTTAGGGGTGAGGGTGGGGTTCTCCTGGAGCCAGGAGGGAGGGTCCACTGTTATATTGCACAGCCAGTCATTAGGTTTACTTGCTAATGGTGCTTTAGAAGAAATTGCCAGGACTCCCCAGGAAAACCAATCACACTTTGGATTATGACCAAATGCAACTCTGTGCCCCTAATGTATAAGCTCTTAAAGTCCTTCTGCTCCTCCCATAATTCCTGGGGCTTGCCATGGACTCTCTTCTCCTCTAGGGATGAAAAGATGTCTCAGTGGTTGTGCTGGAGAGTTTGTCAACTTGATACAAGCTGGAGTCATCTGAGAGGAGGAGACCTCAATTAAGAAAATGCCTGGGGCTGGGCCAGCCACAAACGTGTCACCCCCCAGTAGGTAAGCCTGCCCCTTCGGGAAAGAATGGGTGACAGAGAGACAGAGGAGCACAGAGGTGCATGCATTGTGGAAGGGAGCAGGACTGGTGCTGTGACAGAGGAACAGAGCAAGTTCCTGTCCTGTTTTTGTTCCGCCCTGACTTCCTCCAGTGATGAACAGTGATATGGAAGTGTAAGCCAAGTAAATCTTTCCTTGATGTTTTGGTCATGGTGCTTCATTTCAGCAGTAGAATCCTTAAGATGGTGCTTAAGAGCATTTGTTGCTCTTTCAGAAGGCCCTGGTTCAGCTCCCTGAACCCATGTAGTGGTTCATAACCATCTCTAACTCCAGTCCCAGAGGATTCTTAGCTCTCTTCTGGTTGACACAGGCACTGGGCATGCATGTGATGCACATAATACATGCAAGCAACACACTCAAACAAATAAAATAAATACAACATTTGAGACAGGGCTTTTCTCTTCTTCTCCTTCTCCTTCTCCTTCTCCTTCTCCTCCTCCTCCTCCTCCTCCTC